CGTTTTTACAAATTAAAAATTATTAAGAACTATTTCCGCTGTACAATGAATCAAGAACGATTAACTGATTTTTCAATGATATCTATTAAGAATGACATTCTAGATACATTAAATGTTAGCGATTTAATTGAAAATTTGATGACAGCCAAAGCTCGGAGGATTAATATGTAAATAATTGTATAATGTATAATGTATATTTGGTGTAATTTACCAATTATGTATCACGGAAAAGGCCGCTAAATTTGTCTTGCACACAGACGCCTCTTACCCGCGTGGCGGTGCTGTGTAGACCAGTGTAATTTATTGCTTTAGTACCCACCAAAATATTGTAAATAACATATTTATTCATATTTATAGATACTAAAATACTTGTGTACAAAGGTGTGCTGTACCATTGTTCATAATTAACAATTTTTGAAAAAATGATATTCGTTTATTTTTTGGTTTATACAGGGTGAAATCAAACCTATAAACCAAATAATTCTTTTCTGACACTTTCTTTTCTATCGCTAAAAGTAAGCGAATTATTCAGGTGGCCTGTTTTAAATGCCTCACTCTGTATTCTTATTACACGCGATTGTGCGTGTACTCAATTAATATTAATTGTATTATATAAGCATACACCACATGAGTTTGATTCTTGAATATTTTCTTTTCAAAGTCACGATTCACCTGTTCGAAATCGTTTGATGAAAGGTTTAATGAACGACAATGTTATTTCTTCTTCGAATTATAATTATCATTGTCACGTGGTCGCGAAATTCCCTTCCGCTTTTCTATTTTACTTACTTTTCTTGTCTTATTTTGTCAGTCCACTCGGAACTCATACTTTCTCAACCCCTAGTGATTTCCTCGTCTCATTATTGTGACGTGGTTTATGCCCCCTGTCAGTTCGTTCGACTACCCCCGCTTGTTCAACGTATCAAAAATTCGTGTCCTCGTTATTTTTATTGTTCTCGGAAATTCGACCACCATTAATTCTCTGCTCCAACGTTCTGGCTGGCTAAACATGCGGCAGAGATGGATTCACAATTTCAACCGCCTTGTTTGCGAAGCCCTTGCCTCAAAGTCTCCTATTTACCCGTTTAATTTACTCCTCTCTAATCTATCCTCGGATACCAATAATGTTCCAGTCGCTAGATGCCATCTCAATTTTCCCGTATCCTCTCGTCGTACTACTAAATATCAAGCTTCCGTACCTTATATCTCTGTTTATTAATTTAATTGTTTTGCAGCTCATTGTTCTCTTCTTTTTTACTTCCCATATCACTACACATTTTTTTTCTTCCTATGTATGACATCGTCTCATCGTCCATGCCATGTTTATGCCGAACTACTTTATTGACCAACTGAAATTTGTATATTAACTTCAATTAAAACATTTTTCTTCGCTTTCTGCTAGGTACCTTTTGTCATTCTTGGGGGCAAAAGATCGATTTCTCATTGAAAATCTCTGCAATCTTTCGATGCGATGAATTCGTCCACACGTTTTCCGACTTTGCTTCGAAAACGTGTGCCAGGGAGACTGTGGTGCATAAACCTGTACGATAATCTGAAGGCGCGTTATAGGATGAGTACGTCGGGTGAGGTAGAACTTTACATTCGAGTTCCAATAAAGTATGCTGGATCACCATAGAAACACGAAGTCTGGCATTGTCATAGAGCAGAATAATCGGACGCCACTTAAACATGCTCAATTAGTTGTTCTGCAAGCTGTTGTTGTGTTTGATCCAAATCTTCTTCAAGTAAAGCTTGCAGTTCCTCATCTTACATCTTCTCGGGCCATCCTGAGCGAGATTTGTCGCTAACATTGAAATCACCGATTTTTAACCTACTTAATTAGTCTAGGCATTTCCGATCGATCACAGGACTATCTTTGAATCTAATACGCATCATTATTTTTGCTTCTGCAGTAGTTTTGTGTTAATTAATCAGAAAAAGTAAATAGTGATGTGCCTATGTGCAACTTGTGGGGTTTCACTTTAAAACAAACGGAAAAAAATATTATGGTAACATCTTCGATCTATTATTAGAATCGTGTCAGCTATCCCCAATTTCCGGTTCTTACAGGAGTTCTGGAACACCCTGTATAGTATCTCTATGCCTCTAAGACTATCTAAACGTAATCTAGAGAACTTATGTATACAGCTAATATACCTATTAATATCGAAAATCATTTTCCAAGTTGTAAACTGTTTCTAAATAGACCGGTACGTAAAGTGTTAACTTCTCGTCTGTATTCGTCTCGTCTTCCCAATCGATTTCAGATGTTGGAAAGTTATTGGATAGCGTACATCGAGTTTCTCTGCAAGGTTCCGTGCAGTTTGAGGCGTATCTTATTCGATTAAACTCTTTAACTCGTCGTCCTACCTGGCGGTTTCTAATCGACCACGTGCCACACGATAGAGGCTAATATTGCGAAAATAAAATTTGCCAAAGCAACTGCGTGTTGAGTGTTCATTAACTTAGCCTCCGCCACGTCCAGTATTTAACCCCTTATAGGTTGCCTTGGATACATTGTGTTCAACTTTGAATTCGCACAGGAAAATTACACAAATTTTGCCTTTAATCGTCATTCTATTAAATCCATATATTGCATATGATTTTAAATTCGTATAGAAGAATTGCACGAACTTTTCTTTTAATCATTATTGTAATTCATACATTGTGTTCGATTTTGAATTTGTATAAGAGAATTACACGAATTTTATCTTTGGTCATCATTTAATTTAATCCATAAATTGGACGAACAAGTGTACAATTTATTGGATCCAAAGAGCGATCTGTATCCTTTATTGTAATTCACACGCCTTCGTTGTCGTAGTAGTAAACTATCGTTTACTTCAATATCCACATGACGTTATCTCCTGAACCCAGTCACTGTTTCATCCTCGTACACTGTGTAAACGGATTTAAATTTATCGCAAAGAATCCAAGGCATTGCGTGTTTATGTTTGCCCATAAATCATAATATATTAATATAAGTAATATACTTATTCTTAGTAGTATGGGCTTTCGATTGCAATAAAATATTAAATTTTCCACAAGGTTTCCAATAATAAAAAAGATATGAATTTATTTACGTTTAAAGTACCCGGTCCGTTTACGTTTTCATACTACAAAGTTGATACATACTACAAACTACATAACTGTTGAAGAAGAAACTTGGTTTTTCCTCAACAGAAATAGTAACAATTAAAAGAATAAAGATATTTAAATAATAACTCCTATATCCAATATGCAACATGAATTTATGAAACAGAATAAGAAAATTGTCATGTGAAACTTGAAAAGTGTTTTTTAGAACTAGGAAATTGTACACGCTTCGAATTCGTAAGCGTGTGCGTGCGCAGCCGTGCGATCAGCTGACTAAGATACAAATTGGTGCATTTCGGCGGGGCGGGGGTCGCATCATTAAATTCAAATTGCTTGTATCCAATTAAAGAAACTTCAAATCACAAAATGGCAATGGAATTATCGATATATTTTCTCTCGTATAATCGATTTTCATCAAACGTACCACAGTTTTATTAGCGCTCTGTATATTCTGCGTTTCTTCTGTTTGTTTCTTTCTATTTTATCTTGTTATACGCTACGGTAAAGGCGTTGAATAAACAAAATATATAAATACGTGTGTCCAGGAACCAACAAGCCTGCAGGTGTAAGAATGAATTTAGTGTCTCGCAGTCTGGTATATTGTTCATTCCCAGACCTAACCACGGCTCGTACAAATATGCATTCGCTGTGAGAATGGTCTTAAAGCGTGACGATTGCGGCGACGTCGCTTGAAATTGAACGAATTGTCACCGTGGCGGGTGTTGTAGACAGTTACAGATATTACTTTACCAGAGATTGCGGGTTTGCATCGTTTCAACGTGCAGCTGGGAGCGGAGATTTCTAAAATGGAAAATTTGCGATTCTCAAATAATAAGGGACCGTTGACAAGAAGGTGTGGCAAGTAGAAACGCGCAGCAATACCGTAAATTTCATTGTCGCGATAAATGACTATTCTCGACGCTTGCAGCTCGAAAGCAATTTCCAATGGTCGTCGTGGGAGACGGAATGCGTATTTACGCGAACGTGCTTAGGTTAAGCAAGAATAACTCCAACGCCTCCGCTGTTGGTGACGTGTAATTTTATTTCAACTTAAATATTGATTGCTCGCGAACAGGCTTATGTAGAAAACATGTTATGCCCACATTGTTGTTGTCACATTGATCAAATATTTTTCAACAGTTGCAGATTATGTGCTAGCCTTTATTACGAACAATGGAAATATATCGTATGAAATTAGATCAAGTAATCAGATGCTCTGTGACAGTACGGACGGAATCATGTGAATCTAGTATTCAGAATGATCCTATCTATTTTTCCCGTCCAGACCTTATTTTCTTCTGGAGGAAGAAGCTCGTCAGCTTGCCATGGTTTCCGTGGAGAATGAAACTTTTATTCCTCAAATAATATAAAACGAAGAAACTTGAACTCTTATTTTCCTAAAGTAGGCTAGTAAATCTGTTTCAAAGGTATAAAAGATATCATTAAAACGGTTGCGAGGCTACGATGTTAAGCTTTAAATTACCTAACTAGAAATTACTAGAAAGAATTCGGTCATACTTTTGTGTTACTTGAAAAATGTCTAGAACGCAAAGTTTCTAAAAGAAAAATTCGTCCAAAAGAATTTGACAAAATGAAGCCTCTTAAAGGGTGAGACGCGGGATGCAACTCTTCCAAACATTTTTTAATTCTTGGCTCTGTGTAAAACTGCGTCTCAGCAAGAAAATGTCAAGGAAATATATCCTTTACGTATATTTATTTTCACGTAATATATATATATACAATTACAGCAAATCGTCGTGCAATCGTCGTAATTGTTTCGTTGTCAGTGTTAAATCTTTGCAACATGATGGCTAGCTCGGGTGACCGCCTAGAAAATGTCCATCCAATCCAATGCTTAGCATTATGTCCACTTAACACATTCGCGACCACTGACGTGAATTCACGTCACTTCAAATTTTCTTCCTGATTATGAAAAAATTATGAAAATTTTTGTATTTTATGCACTACATATTTACAACATTGATATTACAAAACATATTTTGTAAGTTTTATTTTCGCCCTAACGATACAAATTTGCGATGTACAGATTCAGAATTTTATTATTTTCGTTAATACTTGATATTAGAAACGTAAAATAGAAGGTAGAAGGTATAAGAGGAAATAAATTGAATGAAAAATCAGGAAGTAATTGACAACGATGTTACAATTGTGAGAAAGTACATACAAAAAAGTAGCAGAATGTAATTTATTCAACGTGAAACAAAAAGAAACGAATATTCTTGTTTCATCGGGAGATCAAATTTACTGTTTATTTCACCGCAAATGGGTTGATTTATTTTGTCAAAAATACAAACGTCAGATTCTATCCTTAACATAACGTAGTTGTAATGTAAAGATATTTGAGATTTCTATGGCATCGTTCTTCATGGTTATGAGACTTCCGCACGTAAATCGTATCCTTCAGATAAGATCCACTTTAGTTTCGCCAGCATTGTAGCTAGCATTTTCAAGGGTCAAAAGGCACACTGACATTAGCGTGCATTGTGCATCGTGCATCGTGGGTCATTTTAAGGTACCCGTGCTCATGTCACAGTTCATTGGCTACTAATCACCGAGCTGATAACATGATTCACTGCTCACCGATAGAAGTTCTTCGAATCTCTTCCGACGAACAGTGCGTCAGCTGACTCCTGAAGAAGTTACTCGGAACGTCGGCGAAATGTCAGAGTATCTTATCCAAAGACCACTTGCTAGTTTTACCTGATGTATTTTCTCAATATTGTAATAATATTATAGTTTCCTGGTGATCATCCTTGCTAACCACTGTTCTTATTGAAAATTCCAAAAGTGTAAACCTCCAAACATGTATCTTAAACCATACAAGTGTTCTTTTGTACTTGGGAATATAAATTCCCCCCTGTGCATGATAAATCTTATAGAGTTAGGCCCTCCTCCCACCTAACATTTGTATTTTCGATTTTTATCTTTTATTTTCGTTTTTATCTTTAATTTGTTTTCTTTGATTTTTATCTTTAACTTGTTCTAACAAGTAGAATTATATATTCTTCTTTTGATGTTTTTTTTTTGTAACCGATTTGAAATTTGAAAAAGAGTCGCTTTGTTGGGAAAAGGGCTTTAGGGTAAGGTTTTGATTCGTATAAATCATACATTGATTTATTTATTTTGAAATTAATCATTTATATTAATGTTTTATAATCTTGAGATTTTTAAATTACACTCATACAGTATCTTGTTCCTTTCTGTAATACTGTATATTTGTAGTTTATAAATTACCAACCTATCATGGCAAATTTTAATTTCTTGTGTCATTAGTTCAACAAGCCAGAACCCTGGCTTATGAGTAGACTTCGGCGTTATTCGAATAAGATTTCGAGCAAACTTTCGAATAAATTTTTCTTGGAATAATGTTCAAATAAAAGGAAGTTATTGGAAAATAATAAATAATTTTTAACTGAAATAAATTTCAGAATAAATCTACAAAACAACGTATATTGTTTATATTTGAACACTGCTCGACAGAGGCGTTCCATTCGTCACCTTTACTCGTCGCCGAGACCTTCCGAATAACGAATGAATTCTTAATCGAATAACGCTACTGATTGATTCGCGAACAACGAATCGTTTCTCGTCCAGTAAAACTGTTTTTTGTTACTCATCCGTTACACTTTATTCGGAATAACATGAACCCAACTCTGTTTAGGAGTCGACGGGAATTATAAGCAGGAATATTGTCGTTTCGTGCTCCGTGGAATACGGACTGATAACTTTTCTTCGTCACCTTCGTACGGTTAGTTGAACGTTCCAAGCACGTCGAACTCTCGGTTTCTAAACTGATTCTGCCGCCAGTCGTCTTTTTAAGGAAAGTCTATCGGTGGATGCGGTGCGTACGAAATGACGCGGAACTTTCGTCGATATGTCGAATGGATCAGATCAGGTAACGTTCACGCGAGTGGACTGGTCAGGTCTGGCGATGGTTCGAGCAGTGCGAGGACTGTCTTGAGCCGAGCTGGATCGGACCATCGAACTGTGGGGATGATTAGCGTTGAAACCATGCTCGTGACGCGTCCCTGTGTCTCCTCCGGTGCAGCCCATCGCCAAACTGACGCCACGACCCCTGGAACCTTTGCAGGCTAGAAGTTCTCTCATTCCCTTCTGAAAGTTACGGGAGAGAAATGCGTATAGCAAGGGATTCAGGCACGAATTCGTGTAAGAGATCAAGAACGTCGATAGAGTGAGGAGAGTGCTGAAGTCCGACGTCCGATCGTAATTCGAGCCCCAGCGTCGCCAGGCGATTCGTACTTGTTGCGGTAAGTTGCAGACGGCGAACATCGCCACCACGGCAATCAACATTCTGGAAACAATTTGTTCTCTTCTTAGAGGGTCGGCACCTTTCTTTACGAACAGTGATGGGATTCAAATGGTCTAAAGGTGATACATCGAGACAAGGAGCAAAATTGAAGATGTCTAACACTTGAACTACCAAATTGGTCAATTTGGTTCATGTAAAGTTGCGGACAAATTTGAGTGGACAAGGAGTGAGAATAGTTATCAATAAAGTTTTATCAAATTAGTACTATTGTTATATACAGTCTGTCTAATAAAAACGTGTACGCCGTAATTTACTTAATATAATAAAATAACTGCAAGATGTTACTCGAATCGTCATATTACTCGAATTTGTCGAAAAAGCTGTTTCAAACTCTAGATTGTCTTCTTTCAAAGTCATAGCTTGATTATTTTCACACATTTTCGATTAGATTAGCATTGCACGATTGGAACGAATAGTCTATTAGATACCGTTTTTTAACCGACATTTTATTAAGATTATTATCTTTTTGTAATATCCACTTTTGGTGCTTCAATCGAAATCATTTTTGTGCTGATGTTAGCTAACGTCTTTGATCAATTTTATTCATTTTAACACCGTTCAAGGTATCCGTAAGTATTGATAAACATCCGAAACCATGTCTTGAAGATTCCATTGGACGATTTCTATGGTAAGTGTGGATCTAAAACGATTTGAAGAAGTTCCTATCCAAAGGACAAAGAAGGTGTCATCAGAAAAGATCACATTACTGAATTCCAATCACTCCAATCACGATCAACATTGTCGTGTGCCTATGCAGTCCTTTTCTCAATGTGTTTAGTAGAAAGTAATAGTTTTGTTTATTATATTCCTGAATTTTACATTGCGAGCATTTAAATTTAGGTACTCTCATAAGACATACTCCAGCCCATTTTCTTTAGTCTTTCTTGGTCTTTACAAAATGCCAAGTCAGGATTTTTCAAAGATATGTTCACAATCCGTTTGCCTCTCTAACCGTATTTTTCTATATCATCCTTCTTTCTGGAAGGTCATCGACGGTTTTTGCTTTTCCGAATTTTATCACCCACTTATTTGTGAATATTTTTACTTATGGTTTTAATTTTCTTATATATTTTTCATATATACATACATCGCTCCGACCGATATGTTGGATCTTCTTGGATATGTACATAAGAACACTGCTTTGAAACTTCTCGCGTAAACACCATTCATATTTCAAAGCGTCGCTTTCTCGGAAAAGCTAGACGATTACTAAAACTCTTCTTTTAATGCACAATAGAGGAAAGATAAACAAATTAATAGCAAGTTATTTTATTTAATTATGTCAAACCGGTTGTTTTGTGTACTTTTAATAATTTTTTTTATTGATTTAATCAAGTAAAGTTTGTCCTTTTTTCTATTGTTAACACCATAACTTAACATTGTATCATCCGAAAGCGCGCGATTAACTTTAAGATGGCATAACTCGGTCAAAAACTCCTATAAACTTCTTTTCTTTTAAATTGCTTGTTAAAATGTGCACGTTGCGAAGGTTTGTATATAATTTCCGAAAAAAGACAACCCAGGTAGCCCATCAAACAATCAAAAGTTAAAGAAAAAAAAATGCTTGGGGGTTACCAGGACCTGGAGGTGCGGCATCGACTCGCATCCATTTTGCATTAATTTTTTCTTAAAGTACAGATAAATACCTACAAAATAAAAAAAAATTGTCTCGATACAATGAAGATTTTTATGAATAATTTTATTCTGTAGTATATTTCGCAATGTGTTCTTTGAATTTTATCGTCGTTAATTTATCGAGGCAGTTAATAATAATTAACTCATTAGAATTTAAAATGAAATTTCTTCTTCCTAAAATTTTGCACTGTTTCGCGAATAATATACAAGCGATGTCTTGTACAAAGCCTAAGCAGCAATTGCAGTGTGCGTTTGTAACCACTGCATGTAAACCAGACCAGATATTTTGTTCACACTTTCTATCTTGCAATATCTTAACCGTGTGTACACTTATTTTTGTCTTCCCAAAAATGGTGGACATTTTCATTAAGCGTTATTTATTTAAACCAAAATGTAAATATTAATTTTAATTATTCACTAAGTAAGTAATCTATGTACCATAATAATATATAATATAATAATATAATATAGTAATAAATAAAATAACAGTAGTACTACTTCGACTGAACATCGTTGATAACTATTTGCACTATCTATCCACTTCATTTTGTCTGCAATTGTGCAACTTTCTTTTTAAATTACTGAATTATCCTTAACGCTTTTACTGCAATATCTGGTAACAATTCCTAAAGCATCAACTAATTATATTCAAAAATTAAATATTCAATTCATCCTTCAATTTTGAAGATATAATATTAGGCTGTTCTGAAGTTCGTGTCAATTTTCAGTAGGTGGCATTAGGACAGGTCTGAATATATCGAAATGATGGAATACAAATTGCATGTGTACATATTCTAAAGGGTGATATTTCAGCCATACGTGACGTAAATACCTTATGACGCCACGTCTGGCACGAAGGATGTTCCTGCTGGAATTAGGGACCTGACGGACTCTAACGCTACCGGTCCCAGTCGTCAGACCAGGTCCTCTGAGAGTGGCCCCACTTCTCCATAATCCAATGGCGATCCTCGAGTAGAGACAAGACATCAAAACGAGAGGAACGATGTAAAGGAAGACCAGGTTCACGGCGTCTAGAACGTTCTTGTTGTGTTTCTTGATGTTTGCTAGACATATAATGTCTACGTCGCCCGTGATTAAATGATTTCTCATGGTCTCGACGTAGAGGAACCTCGGAGATGCGTAAATCGCGGCAATCAACCATACGAGACCTACGACGAGTCTCAGGCGACTTCTCGTCAGCACCGATCTGCATTTGATCGGATGAACGATGGCCAAGTATCGTTCGACGCAGACCACCACCAGGATCAATACGCTGGCGGTATAGGAAAGCGCGTGAACGAACATATAAACCTTGCAAAGGAAATCGCCGAGCTGCCAGCTGTTGGTTAAATAATTCGTCAGGGTTTGGTACACGCAGAAGATGCCAACGCAGAAATCGGCCACCGCCAAATTGGCCAGGAAGAAGTTCGTAATACTGCGCAGTCGTCGGGAGAAGCTCACCACAAAGATCACCATCAGGTTACCTGGAACAACCGAACAAGAGGTAACGATAGTTTTAATTCGATACTATCCGCTTATCCCCGAAACTTTCGGATATTGCACGAAAGTTGACGTTAGACGACAGAAGGTTGCGTATCGCGGACATCGCGCTTTTACGTCTGATATGATTTTCGATGAAACTTTTTGTAAACAGGAATTATGTTTTCGTCACTATGACCAGTAGTTTTTCGCGATACTGTAGTTTCATGCAGTGACTATCCATTTTCGCGACATGCATTGGCAAACATAGAAATGAGGCCGATTTAATACAATCTTCACCCGATGGATTGGAAAAGGTAAGTATGGTGTATGTTAACAAACTCATTGATTCAACACTCCGATGTTGGATGGTTATGATTGTATCAAAAGGTTACAGCATTCAGTATTAAACATACTTAATTGATATATAAAAGATTTATGTCCAAACGTTTGTTACATTTTTTGTTTATTGTACTTTAATTCCGTGACTGGAAACTTTTGTCAACCTCTTTTCCTGTTTAAATTATATGGTAATACAATTTTTTTACGTATACTTTACGTATACTGCACTTGTGGATTAACCGTTTTTTGGCAAAAACACCTTAACACTGTAAAAAACACATCGGTGAGTGTTACACCCTGATTTTGATGAAACTTAGTACACTTGTTTGTGAGACCTTCCAAGAATTTGTGTAATTCATGCATTACCTCTCCACTTTTCAAGTTATGTAACGGGACATATTTATTCTGTTACTACCCACACATTTCATCGTCTCACAGCATTTTTCATCATATAACGGGACATGAATTTCGGTTGTTCGAAAGTAACAAGATTTTCAATCTTAAAAATTCCTAAAGAACTCGAAATATCGACAACTAAAGCGACAATTTTACAATAATATATCGCTTGTCAGTATGATAATCATAAAATCATACACATCTTTGAATTCAAAATAAAAAAATGCTTTAACTGATCCAGAAATAAATCAAAAATTTCGGGGGAAAGAGCGTAATTTTGGAAAAAAAACATTTTTTTTAAATTTGTTGATACTGGTTTATAGACCTCTACAATACAGTGCAATGTTTGTTTGAACATTTTTTTGATATCTCTTATCATTTCCGAGTTGTAAGTACAAAAGTAAAAGGGGCGGTTTAGATAAAAGGGGTAGTTTCTCCCTTGAATCACAAAAGTGGCACGAACTGAAGATGGTTTAGTTCATTGGAAGGTTGTACAAACAAGTGTACTAAATTCCATCAAAGTCGGAGTGTAATACTCATCGATGTTTCCTTGTTATTTTAACCGACCACCCGCGCCACCGCAAACTGTACGCTGTCCACCGCGTTCTGGCAAGCCAAACTACGCTGTTCACCGCGCATTTTTCGCAAGTAACGCGGACTGATTTTCACTATTTGAAATCAAAGAAGTCTGAAAATTATTTAAGTGGTCAATTATATCTTACGGTAACAATTTAGTTTAACAATTTCGCATTTTGTTTATGCAAAACATAACATTAAAAGTATATATATAATAATTATTTTTTTGTGAGTTGTTCAGAAAGTATAGGTAATGAAGTCTGAAAATTCAGAACATTAAATATGTCTAAAAAAAAACGAGAAATGTGTGCTAAGGTAATACGTTGCTAAGGTCAAAGTAGGAGATCTCCCCGATCAGTCGGTTAAGTGTTAACTAAACAATATGATAAAATTGGCAGCCACTGTATATTTATATGTTCAGTCTTATTTAACTCTGCACAGTTTTGTTCAGAATTTCGCACTTTTATCTCTAGCATGGTTCTCGACGGAATTTTTTATATACAGGAATTATCTTTTTCAGGAATAATTTTTCATGATACCAAAATTTCTATGCGGTAACTCTCCGTTTTCGAATGATAGAATCAGAACCAGTCATATGCTAGAGTGTACTATAAAATGTGTCACTTCTGGCATTTGATTTTCTAGCATAGAATTTCTTATTAAAAATCCGACAAATGCATTATGATGTATATCCAGACAGCACAGGGACGTTTTATGTACGTCCAAACGTCCTGTGAACGTCCCTGGAACGACCGGCGTGGACATTCTATGTACGTCCCTGGAACGTCCGATGTGGACGTTAATTTTATATATTTTCTTGGTATATATATTTGTTGGTAGATTTAAGTTAACTGTATTTATTTCTTGTAACTGGATTCCATGAAAAACGACGAACAAATTTTTCAATTTTTATTTACCTTCGGCGGGATTCGAACTCACGATTTTCGGACTACAACAACAACCTGTTTCCTCACTTACCCATAAACGCCTCTGCTAAAACGACTCATATTTTAGGCTTATATAGTGACTCGCATTAATATTCGGATACTTTTAAAAATACAATTCCTTCTTTTGAAATTGGTCTAAATGACTTAAACTTTTTTTTGAAAAGTTAGAAGAATTAATTTTCTAGGTAATTCTGAATACTTCCAAATATTACATACATATTACATCTCATATGTACCAAAAATATTGTATTCCTAACATTGAATAAATATTTTGTTTTACATGTTCAAACATATATTCTGTTGCGAATATTAGATAAATATGTGTTTTATCTACGGAAAAAATATTCTGTTGCGGTATGAAATAATGATTGAATACCCAGATAGCACAGGAACAGGAACGTCTTATGGACATTTCCAGAACGTTTTCTGTACGTTCTTTGTACGTCCATGGGACGTCCGATGCTATCTGGGATAATAATATTAATTAATTAATTAATTATATTAATATTAAATTATATTAATTAATATTAATTTACAATTGTAAATAGTGTATTTTATATTCGAAAAAAAATATTCTGTTCTACATATTGAATAAATATTATATTATAAATAATATTAATAAATAATATTTATTTTGTTTAAAAAAAAGTATTTTTCTCTAAATCTAGAAAGTTCAGAGCGGACATCCCTCTGTCATGTAAACGACATTTAGGTCCCATGGACATTCGTAAGACATTCCGGGCGGACGTCCCTGGGACGTGCAGAATTTAGGTCCCATGGACGTTCGCAGGACGTCTTAAGGACGTCCGACAACGGACGTCGGACGTTTGGACGTAAACTGGACATAAAATGGACGTAAACTGGACATAAAATGGACGTCCATGGGACGTCCGGTGCTATCTGGGTACACACATGTTCATTTTTGTTCTCTTTTCTAATTTTATTCACTTTTGTTTAGTTTTGTTCGCCTTTGTTTTGAATTTCGCGCTTTCATCTTTAATATGATTCTCAATGGAAAGTTGAATGCAGGAATTGCCTATTTCGGTCACGATGAGTAGTAGTTTTCACGATACCGAAGTTTTTATGCGGTTCTCGAGTGATACGATCAGGACTATCACATGATAGAGTATCCAATAAAGTCTTACCTTTGAAATTGGATTTTCTAACATAGAATTTCAATGAAAATACGACAGGTACGTCATGTATATAATATAAATATAATGTGTTGTGGGATACATAAATAAATAAATAAACAAATATGTGTACATACATTATTATTATTAGTATATAATACATATATGTAACACATTATATACATACATGTATATTTATATGTTCAGTTTTGTTCAGAATTTGCAGTGATGGTGTATTTCAAGGTACAATAAATTATGTAAAAGTGGACATTAAATATTCAAGATTATTAAACCAGCCATTTTTATATTGACATTACATTTGTAACATGTCAGTCAGCCAGGTTTCCGTTGGCAGCTGTACACGCGTTAAGTTAAAACGTAATCCTTGAAAGCGACAAAGAAATATGTAAATGTTCCTCTCCTGATCGATACTTTTGCACGTGCTACGCACTGCACGTTGCTCGAGCATTATAATGAAATTGACGGTCAATAAATTACCCATGAATAAACATGAGTATGAATATAATACTAGAGTATTACACTGTATTAAGATTCGTTTGAGTATAAAGAACGTCTTTGAAGTATAGTCAAATGCGATTACTACTTAAGAGAAATCACCAAGTATACTAAAGTCTTGCAGACAGTTCTGCAAGATTCGTTAATGCTTTATTTAATTTTTCGCTATATTTATACGTATACCATTTGTTAGACAACAGCTTCTTGTACAGACTCACCCAGGTCATTTTATACGGATCCAGTTTCTTTATCGTTATAAACTTTTAAAAGCTCTGAAATAATTAAGAGTTACTATCCAAAATCCTTCCTACATCATGCAATAGCTTTTCAAGTTAAATGTTTCAACATTATGGGTGATCTCAGTCCTTGTTTTCTGATATTTGATTTCAATTTGTAACAAAGAGAGAACTTTTTTGTCGAATCCAATAACACTTACCCAACGTAAATGTAAATGAATGTAATAATCAACTCGATTACAAGAATTAGCTTCTTCTCAGTGCAAAGCAGCTCGAGAGAACGGTGGAATAAACGAAACTAAACGATTGAATGTTATGTATTTATCGATCGGGGTGGAATACCACTGAATTGATGTCCAAATTAGCTATTCTACCGCGTCGAACGTGAGTTTGTCTCAATTAAGCCCGATGGACTCCGTGGAATGAAATAATCGTTTCGAATAATCAGACATTAAATTAGGATTTAACCGTTTCATTCTTATCGCGAACACGTTAATTTAGCACTGTATTTCTCGCGTCCGTGCATATCAGTTGTAATCGTTGTATCGCAGGGGGATGTTTCGAGTATCTTTCCATTTTTCCAACCAATCCTTTTAACGTAACCGCTCAACCCGCATTTCCCTTGGATCGGATTATTTTATCGAATTCGCGATGTCAGTCGATACGAATTGTTCGTTTGGCTACGTTGCAAAAACGAAAAATGCGGGTTCGTTTTGCCGGTGCTGGCTGTACATCTCATTTAGCTTCGACATCGGTTCATCTCTATCTATAATTTCGTGTTTCCAACTTGAAGTCCAATGTCCACCACGACGCATAGTGGTATAGAAAGCGGCTTATTGTAGCCGAAGTCCAATTTTTC